GGGGGGGGTCTTACCATATGACTCCGGCTGGCCTAGATCTTAATAAACAGACCAGGCTGGCCTTGAATTCACAGAGATCCCCCTGTTTCTGCTTCCTGAGTGCTGGGACTAAAGACTATGGCCATGGAAGGAACACACACCTTTCATTCCAGTGCTTGGGAGGCAGAGGCAGGTGGGAATTTGAGGCCAGCCTGATCTACAAAGTGAGTTCCAGGACAGCCAGGGCTATCCCCTGGCTCAAAACAAACAAACAAAAAACAAAACACAAAACAACAACAATAAAAGCTCACCACCACCACACCCAGCTTATTTTATTTTATTTTTTGAGACAGGGTCCTATGTAGCCCAGGATAGCCCCCAGCTGTCTAAGTAACTAAAGATGGCCTTGGCCTCCAGCCTCTCCCCCCACTAAGTGCTAGGATGACAGATGTGCACCCCACACCCGGTCTATGTGGTGCTGGGCTGGCACCCAAGGCTCCGTGCATGCTCCTTAGACAAGTGCTCCACCAGCCGGACCCAGCCCCAAGCCCAGGACCTATTTTACTTATTTTCATTTCATGTGCATTGGTATTTTGTGAACATGTATGCCTGTGTGGGGGTACCTATGGAACTGGAGTTACAGACAGTTGTGAGCTGCCATGTGGGTGCTGGGATTTGAACCCAGGTCCCCTGGAAGGGCAGCCAGCTCTCCAAACTGCTGAGACAGCTCTCCAGCTCCCTCGGGGCCTATTTTAAATCACACCCTGGGAGGAGCAGAAATTTAAAAGGTATATTTTATTTCTCCTGTTATTTTCCCCAACCAGCATTTTCTCCTGTATCTTTTCACATCTAATCCATTCCCCTGTATCCCTCCAAACTCACCTGTGGCCCTACTTCTCCCAGTTCACCTTTCAGACCTGGATATCCAGGAAGGCCCTTGGAGGAGGAGAGATGGAGGAACACGGCTTGAGCAGCGCGGCCGTTTGGCATGGATGTATCCCTCTCCCCACCGCACACCCCTTACTCACCACAGGGCCTGGGCGCCCAGTGAGCCCCACTGGACCAGGGGGCCCTTTCATGGAGAGCTGGAGAGACAGAAGCGAGAGTTCCCCATAAGAGCACAGAGGCAACGTGTGCCTTCTCCACAGGTTGCAAATTGGTTCCCTAATTCCTGTGTTGATAACACTTTGAAGGGAACGTTTCGGAAGATGGTTGGGGTTAGCTAAAATCAGAAGGATCGGTCCCCGTATGCCAATCGGTATCTTTGTAAGAGTAATGGCTTGTCCTAGTGCATTTACTATCTTGCCTTGGACTGCCTCCACCAGTCACAGTCACACCCAACCAGGTGGCAGCATGCTGCTCTGGGTCTTCCCAGCCTCCTGACTCAGGATTTTACTATAACAACAGAAATTGGTGGCAAGCATCACCAGGAGAGAGAAGTCCTCTGTTTCCCAGCCTGTCCCGAGGAAACCGTTATGTCTGCCATACCTCACATAAACACACTCCCTTGTCCCACTCACCTGAGCCTGCTGCAGCACCGCCTGAGCCTGGGCCTGCTGGAAGGAGACTGGGGGTCCTTTCATCGAGCCGCTGGCAAAATGGAACTAAGGAGCAACTAGCGATGAGGAGAGGTGCACAGGAAGGCAGCCCCTAGAGTCAGAGCTCCTCTCCCCAGGGATGGGACACTCCCTCCTTACCGGCATCAGAATCACCGTGCCAGGCAGGCCCCGGACTCCATCAATGCCTGGGATCCCTGGGAGGCCAGCAGGACCCTGAGAGAGACAGCAAGACAAAGGGACAGATGGAGGAGACAAGAAACAGAGGTGGGAACAGGAGACGGAAGAGAAGAGGAGAGAGAGGGGGAACAGAAAGGAAAAGATTGGGAAGGAGCCCGAGGAGGAAGAGAGGAGAGAGGAATGAGATGGAGATAGAGAGAGTTAAAGGTGACAAGAGAGACACTAAAGTAGAGAAGCAGGAAAAAAAGAAAAAGATGGAGGGAAGAATCGAATCACAGAAATGGATGGCGAAGGAAGGAGAATGAGAGAGATATGGACTCACAGAGGGCTGGAGAGATGGCTCAGCAGTTAAGAGCCCGGATGCTCAATCATGAGGACTGGAGTTTACAGCCCAGAACGCATGTGATAAGGCAGGCATCCCACAGAGGAAGGCAACCCCAGCTTCTGGGGAGCCAAAGCCCTCTGGGGGTCTCTGTATGTGCACAGTATAAACACACATGCACAGACACTCACTCGCACACATGTACACACGACATAAATAAGGTAAATATTTTAAAGGGGGGCTTTCCAGAAAGATGGCTCAGCAGGTAAGGGCACACGCTGCCAAGCCTGACGACCTGAGTTTGAGCGCCAGGATCCACATGGCAGAAGAAGAGAAGGAACTCCTGCAAAGTGCCCTCTGACCTCCACACAGGTGCCAGGGTACATGCCACTATCCTCCATGTGTGTGTGCACACACACACACAAAGTAGATATAAGATGTCATACAAAAATTAAAGACACACAAAAACAGGCATGAGGAGAAAAATGGGATGAGGGGTCAGAGAGACTGTTCACGGATGGGGCAGCTTCAGCAGTGAGGGATCAATGTCGTTTCTGGGATGGTGTTCCTAATTCTGCCACCACACCCACACTCAAAGCTCCCCTCTCCCAAGCTGAAATCCCACCCCTGCGCTCCACCGCACACCCCAGCGGAGAATCTCTTACCGGCAGACCACGGTCCCCAGGGAAGCCCGGAGGCCCAGGAGGGCCTGAGGGACCAGATATTCCCTGTGGAGGCAGAGAAAAGAGAAGTCACAGGCGATGCAGAACTTGAGCCCAGCTGGCTTCTGACACACACACACACACACACACACACACACACACACACACACACCATGACCTTGACTTCAAGCAGACTCTATCGCCTAGCCAGTTCTGTTCCCTTCATGGTCTACTGGCCTCTCAGCTTTGCACTCTAGACCTTGTTTTTTTTTTAAATACATCTTTTGAGTATTGAATATGCAATGACCTCCAGGCAACACTATAATCCTAATCTCCCCAGCTACAAGAGGGTCAGGCACCATGGTGCACTCCTGTAATCCCAGCACTCGGGAGGCTGAGGTGCAAGGATCAAGAGATGGATTCCAGCCGAGACTACACAGTGAGTTGGAGACCAGCCTGAGCTATATCAAAGGAAAGGAAGGAAGCGAACGCAGCTACGTGAGCATGGAGTAGCGCAGCTGTTCTGTGCACGGGCTCTAGAAGAAAGGGGCGGGGAGAAGGAAGCTGGAGTGTGGGGCTAGAACCAGTACTCACTCGGGGTCCCGGAGCTCCTGCAGGCCCCTCGAACTGCTGTCCCTGGAGAGACACACAAGTGTGACCCCTGCTCCCATGAGGCCCCTCAACCTCCTCACAGCCCCCATCCTCTCACCTGCTCTATTGTCGCAGGCTCTCCTTTTGCTCCCTTTTCTCCAGCACTCTGGGGAAGGTGGACAGAGAGAGGAAACATGAGGCCAGAGACAGAGACGGGAGGGCAGAGGGACAGCTGTTTGCAAAAGCAAGTTCCGTTCAAGCCTGATGACTCAAATTCAATCCCTGGACTCCAAGGTGGAAGGAGAGGGCTGACTCCTGAAAGTCATACAGGGTGAAGGGCAAGGACTCCAGAGGTCCTTATCATGGCTCCGCCTCTTCCGAAATGAGGGTGGCACCTTACCCAGCCCTGCAGCCATCCACACTTAACGCAGAAAGTCGGTGAGTGCAGGACACCCGTATGGAAAACAGGTTACAACACTGGACACATGTGATGCCTGCCAGGTGTGATGGTTCACACTTTAATCCCAGGATCTGGAGGCGGAGGCACAGAGATCTCTGGGAACTCGGGGCCAGTTTGGTCTACATAGCAAATTCCAGGATAATCAGGGCTACATAGTGAGATTCTGTCTCAACAAATGAATGAATGGATAGATAGATAGATAGATAGATAGATAGATAGATAGATAGATAGATAGATAGAT